TTGGAGCATGGAGTCAGTTGTTATCAAGACTGAAATAACCACATGAAATGCCCTTTAATCCTTCAGAATGTCACAATAGTATTGTGTATGCCAAACAAGGGAACCAATGAACACCCGAACTCAACAATGAGAAAATGATGTGATACGTATGTCTGATCACAAGAAATGGTATTCAACACCATTCTGCTCGAGGGCCTGTGCTAACTGATCCTTGTTATAAGGGCGACCTGATTGTGCTCTAATTTGATGGTCAAGGTGATCCCACAAGACTTCCGATAAGTCTTATGATTGTACTGGCTAAGGCAACATGTTGTATGGGGTCTTGTGTCATCTTGTTGAAACAGGGCCTGTTCTGTTGCAAGGACTGTAGTACAACAGGGTAAGAAATTGTTCAATGTTGTGCTGTCCAGTGATGTTTCCTTGACTTGACTCCAGATGCGGCATTGATAGAACTAACGAGGCCTTATTGCTGGACTAATGATGCCGCATTGCAGGGCTAATGATCACGCATTGCAGGACTAATGATGCCGTATTGCAGGGCTAATGATGCTGTGCAAACTTGGTTACATATGCTGCCTTGACAGGGCTACATATGCTGCCGCCTCCAAACGGTTCGACATATCCTGAATGCAATAGTGTTCTCCCTGTCGCAGGTTGACACAAATTCTTCCATCAGTTTGGAAAAGCTTGAATCTGCTCTCCCCTGTGAAGATGACTCTTTGCCAATTTCTGTTCTAGTAGCGTTACAGTGTCAGCGTTGTGTCTCGTAGTGGTCGGCAAGCTCTTATATTGCACGACACATTCTTCTGGACAATTACTGTCTCAGCTGGAGGATACGCATGTCAAGTTTTCTGTGTGTCAGTGACAGGAGGTCTGCCATTCCTAGGCCTGTCACCGCCTCCGTGGTCTAATGGTGGAGCATCCGCCTCGGAGAGCGCAAGGTCCGGGGTTCGATCCCCAGCCGCGTCATACCAAAAGACGTTAAAAGATGGTACTTGTTGTTACCCTGTCTGGCGCTCGGCATTAAGGGGCTAAAACAAGGACTGGTCGGCTCGGAGTCAGTCCGGACTAGTACAAGCAGCCACACACACACACATACACGTACATGCACGTCGCTATATAAGTGCAATAATCTTAGACACACGTTAAACCCCATTTCATCTCACCTCACCTCACCTAGGCCTGTCTTTCTTCCCCCCAGTCTGCCAGAATCAGGTCGTGCGCCTGGTGACTCTCATTCGTCCACAGCCCAAACTCCTTGCACCGTCAGCATGCGTTGCTCCTTGATGTATCCTTCCAACAACAATTTCTTCCTGTTGTAGCCTAAATCTTAGCATGATACTGTCCAACGGTTTGGGTGTGAATAAAAATTAAACGTTCATTTTATACCTATATATTTGTAGGTTGGCATGCTGTAAGTGCAGCCAAAGATTCACTTCAAACTCAAGTTCCATTGATGTGGGTAGCACGTTCATTACTCAGCAAAGTGTTTGGATGTGTTTGGGTGATTGATTTCCCTCCATTTTGTAACACAACTCGGCGTTTGGACCCAATGTGTCCAAATTTCAGTTAGGTAACGTTTTATCATCAGTTTTCATACAAAGTTATGCTTTTTATGTCCATCATCCACAATCTTAGCAATTGAAAAGTACATTTTTCGAACTGTTTTGAGTACAAATATGTCAAGTTGACCTATTTTCTGCCAATCTGAAGACAACTGCACACTTGGCTTTTACGACACACGGTGTTGTAAAAATGGTCTTTTGTATTACATACAAAAGCTTTGTTTTAAAGCTATTTTCAGTGTGCTGTCTTAGCTGTTTGAGTGAACACTGAGAAAATTTTAACATTCTTTATATATGTTGAATTTGAAATGTGACAGAAAACCAATCTCAGCTATCTTTTTATGAAGAAAAAATAATATTTCAGCCTCTAAAAATGAAGGGGGAAAAATATGACATTCCGTGTCCTTGAATGACACGAGTTGGTAACGAATGATATGAGGGAAGACATGTTACATCTGGGTGTTCATAGCATCTAATTGAAATGTCTAACCACTTTTCTGATTGTCAATGAATACTTTTGGGGAATAGCACTGCACATGTTACAGTGAAATCCAGTGGATCAGGAGCCGATTATCTGGAAGCCCGTATGAGCACAAACATACAAACCCGGACATAAGACCAACCGGATTATGTATGTAAGTGTGAGTTATATATTGTAGTTTACCCCGAAAGGTTTAAATTATATAAAAGCTCACATGATACACATCTTAAGTAAGAACATTGTGTCATTATTTATAAAGATTGTTATGTTTTTGTATACAGCAGAGAGAGTTTTCGTTTAATAAATATTCAGTATATATTCAGGACTTTAATTTTATTTTTCTATTACTAATGTCATATTTTATCTCTGAAGGAAATCTAGTATAGTGTCATAAACATACTTTTGCTTGTATCAAGCCAGCACTCGTTGTGAATATCTGATGCTTGGTTACTACACTTACAATCTTTTTTCAGTTTTCCTCCCCAAAATTCAGGACATACCGCTGCTCCTGAACTGTGAACGCGAGTATGTTGTGGATAGTAAATATCCTTGATTAGAAATACACAATGTACGTAAATAGCCTTGACGAGATAAACATAATGTTTTTTTACTCATATAGGCTATTAACCATACTTAAAAGGCACAAGTTTAATAACGTAATTATAATGTCATCGTTACAAATAGGTATTCTCATTTCTCACAAACTTTGAAAATTTTCCTGAAATGTGCGCATTAATATACTCTCGTATCACATAACAAGGTACATGATTAGTCAGCGGACAGTGATAATAGGCAAAACAGCTTCAGCTGAAACTTATTTTTAGACATTTCGGAATGTTTTTTATCGGTACTTTTACTATAATGATGATAACAAACACATTGTATGACTTACAATAAGCTTAAATGAATTGATCTATCATAGACAAGTACAACACCATGTTTGTTTGCAGAAAGTAGAACCGAGCCCACCCATTTTTTGCATATTCTCTGTAAATGACCCTATATGATTTCGTTCTAATCGCTGTCTCGCAAAAGCATCACCACATGCAAACAAACGCGATCCTTATTCCAAGTGTGAGTGTGATTGGCTTTTATCAAGATTCCTGCAAACTCTCCTGAAGTGTAGCACAGCTTTCAGCAACATTCCCTTTATATCACGGCCAATGTGTTGGTACGAAACCGGTCCTTCGGCGTTAAGAGTGAACATTTTAACCACAAGGTTACGCCAGCTCTCCTGCAAGACTTCCGATATTAAGGAAGGACTGTACACATTGGACCATATCGGAATCAAACACGAGTCTTAAGCACAAAGTACGAACGTTTAACCCACTTCACTACCCCAACACCCTTCGTGTGAACGTTCAGTGTTTCAGTTTAGGCTATTCTAATAAATTATAGGTTTAATGTCCGAAGCGTTTGTGACACTGAATCAGGAGATAAACATACTGTGTTTTCAATGTAGAGCTAGGTTACCTTCAGATTTAACCGCGCTAGATTTAAAAGTTGAAACTTCATTTCAAATGTTAAATTTAGCGCGGTTAAATCTACAGGTAACCTAGCTCTATATGGAAAACACAATATGTTTATCTCCATTCTACCATGACTAAGTAAAACGGGCACTCTTTCGTGCTAGCAAACATATTGAGTGAAGTGTTTTCAGTGGGTTGTCGATGTGAATTACGGATTGACTGACAACAGCCTTTAAACAAAATATGGCGTTGTATATGCTCAGACAGTTTGTTAACACCGTAATACTTCACTCGAACATGTAACAGGCATTGAAGGCATATATGCACGGCAACTTGGTAATAAGAAAGAAAACTAAGCAAGCTTTGCAAAGCTTTCGTTCTACACCGCACCATTATGACGTCATATCGGTCATTGTGACGCAAAAGATATGACGTTACAATTGTATATGGAAAAGCGCCAAATTCCAAGCTCTCTGTTGTCCCCAAAACTTAAAATACATTCTCTTTGAAGGTTTCTATCATGTTTTCTGCACGAAATGTTTTGCCCCATATCCTTTGAATGTCGCAGTAACCGCAACTTTGCATGTATTACTTTGCAACTGTCATTGTAGAGGGGGTTTATTATGATTTAATAGCCTCTGATTGACTAATCAGAATCGAGTAACTTCCTAATACATGGTAGAATAGTGATTTATGTTCTTATGCACAATATTATAACATGTACACTAATTGTAAAATTCCTAGTGATATTATTACGCTTAAATTAACACAGCAACTCTTATCGTAATGTATTACATTTTTCTTGCTGTAAACTTGTGTGTTGTATTTCCCAATGTACTAAACTGTTAGGTATCTTAGAAGCACCACCTTTGTGAACCCATACTTCTACCCCAAAGTGTGAATTCTTGTCAATCTTGACATGTGGTAGCAATTCAATAACTATTGAATGTTATTCGATCTGGGTGGATTTTTATAGGGCAAGAAATGGGGAAATGCATGTGCATTTCATTTTGCAAGGAACTCACGTGCATCGGGTCACCATGGCTGTTGCCGTGATGCGTTTGGGCGATCGGTTTTATTGTCATCTCCTTTGTTTTTTATCATCAAATTTCATTTTTCCGGACAAGGTAATGTTAAATCTTAGAAACTTTGACAAAAATTACCCATATAGTTAAATGACAATTTTTCATGCAATGTTACTTGAGATGACGTTTCTTTTGCGGTTCAGAACAGTAGTTGCTGTATAAGATTCCACAGAGACTATGATTCAAGTTAGCTGTTCACACAATGACACTTCTACATTTCATGCTGTCATAGGAGCACCACCTTTGGGAACCCCGGAGTGTTGAAGTCTGTCATCAAATACCAACGGATGGGCAACAGTTATATTATTATTGACACAAACTTGATAACCTACGTCAGCATCAGATTGATCAGATCTGACTCAGTCCTTATTAATCATAACAAACACTAAACGCCTTGCACCTGCAGGATATTTATTAAGAAGAAAATATTTTCTAATGGATACAAAAATATAAATCTTATAAAATAACGATACAATAATCCAAGTCAAGGTATGAATCACATGCGCTTTCTTCTTTGACATATTTTGTGGGGCTTTAAATATGAAATGGCCACTTAATACCATGTCATATTACACCCGGTCAAGATATAGGAATGTAATACAGCTATATCAATGTATACATTTTTACAAAAGAAATTGAGGTAATTTGAAAAGAGCCTTTCAAATAGATCTTTACAAAGAGAATATAGTATCGGTTGTTGAGTCATAGTTTGGTCTTAACCTCTGTCAAAGAATGCTGTTTTTCAGAATTTCGGTAGTGTTTGACTTCCTTGGTTCATGGCCATTAGAACCACCTACTGCAGGTAGCCCTGTTGGTCTTGTAGTCACAGCGCTTGATGCAGGGGTTGTAGACAAAAGCTCCAGGACAGGTACACACGATGCTCATTACTCCTCGCCTCCAGGCCACGAACATGCGAGGGTTACCCTGGACCAGAGAGTCGGGGTTGGCATCTAGAAAATATGGAGACGAGAAAGAATATAATAATCAGAGAATACGTGTCACCTAAGAGGTGAGGTGAAATGGGGTTTAACGTCGCGTCCAAGATATACACCTATATAACATCAACTTAAAGGATTGTATATCCTCAGAAGGAAATGGACATCACGTGAGAGGAGTGTATGTTTTCACCAGATAATTATTTATATCATTCCAAACGTGAATATTGTTAAACGCAATAGCAATATGCAGCCATATTACGACGGCATGTAAATAATGGAGTCTTGGTCAGGCAAATCAGAGACTGAGTAATGACCCATAGTAACTGGGGATAATAACAATCAGTCACAGGATCTGATCCAGTTGTATCGCCTCTTAAAACCAGCAATGAGGAATGCCTAGGATTTTGTTCTCAGCCGGGTGGACCAGAAAAGAACCTATATCGCCAAAGAATATATATCATCAGCAGAGAAAGTATAGCACAGGAAGAGTAAGTGAGTTGGTTTTAACACCGCTTTCAGCAGTGCTCCGGTTATATCAGCTTATTGTGGGAGGAAAGCCCGAAGTGATGTAGGTCTAAGACGTCTACCACTTTGGTGAAACCCACGAAGACGGGCATGGCGCTGACAAATCCAAAAACATCATCAGGGTGAACCGGGATTTGAACCCACGATCGTAGGTGCCCAATGGACGCCTCTGCTCACAGCAAAACGCAGAGCCTTAGACGACTGGGCTAACCTTGCCCCCTCATAGGAAAAGTATTTTATCATGGAAGAGTACAGTATATTATCAGGGGATGATGTCTGGTTTCACTGTGTTTCAAAGATCAGACAAAAGACATAACACAACTGCACGCGTCTGATATAGCTGTAGGTTTAGACACTCTCCACACTCTGTAGGAAAGTTAGATTTGCCTTACACGTGACACCATCCTCGGGACAACACACTAAATAGAATAGCAAAAAGCCGAGAGCACTTACTCTGATACCCTAAATGTTGGAAATGAATGAGGAGAATACGAACATAATATGCCTACAAATCATGTTTACTTATAAAGATCTAAAGGAGACATGTAATGGTAGAAGCAAAGGCATTTTACGGCTTATGAGACCCGTTCCACAAAGCCACCGTAGAGAGTCGTAACGCAAAGATCGCTTTTTTGTACTGCCTATGTACGCCTAGTGCAACCTCTACACATGAACATGCAATACTTGTAGCACTTATACCGCTTTGCAAGACCTGCCCAATGGTATGCATGACGGGTCAAGTCACAAGAAAAGGGTATTTCACAACATCTCTTCAAATAAAGATTTTCACCTGCAAGTCTAAAGTTGCATCTGTAAGGCGCTATTGGCCTTGAGAAGGGGATCCTTGGGGGTCTCAGAGTAGGCTTTCGTGGGGCTTTTGTTGTTGGAACACTTGTTCCCTCTGTGGGTATAGGAGTTGTCGTAGTCTGCGTTGAAGGCGTTGGTGTCGTTGTAACCCAGCCCGGGTCAGAAGGTGTAGAATCATCACTGCAGATGAAGTAGACATTTATATTTAATCAACATTACCCTGTCTGCAGAATAAAAACACAAAATTGTTTATCTAATCTCAGATATAGGTATACTCGTAAAATGACACATATATTTCCCTTAGGGGCATACACTTTACTGTATATTTAGCATCTTGAAAAAGGACATCTCATGTTTTGATCAAGTAAGGAAAGAAGTGGTTCATTAAAACGGTTTATCTGGAATTCCCTCCTCTATCAAACGGCTGGACGAGAAACGCCTCCGTCTGGTTCATTGCTGACCAGTCTCCTTGGATTGTCTCTCGGTGTACCTAGATGTTTCCGAGACCTCTGTGAGCGTGGTTGTCGGTTGGCGAGTTGTCGTGTCTTCCCGTGTAGTTGTAGTTTCATGTTGTGTTGTTGTAGTTTCAGCCTGTGTTGTTGTTGTTTCATCTTGTGTTGTTGTTGAAGTTTCAGCCTGAGTTGTCGTTGTCTCCCCACTAACATCAGCAACATATTAATCGCTCTGTATAAGGTGCTCCACTGATATATTTGTCAGGGTGCTGGGGTAAATACTGAGTGCAGTTAGTCATTTGCATAACAAAGTAGCTTTTAATACGGTAAGCTAAGCTGTGCTGCAATAAAATATTGCCTGCCTCCATCTTTCGCAGAATAAGACAGTTGAAGCGAAGTGATTGTGGCATCCTTTAAAGCAGTTGGAAGCAAAACTCCAAAAGGTAGCATAGAAGTTTATATCCCCTGAAGGCAGTTGTTCTTCAAGGGAACTGGCACGGAAAGAAACGTCGTGTAATTCATCGGTATTTGATGAGCAGAGTTGCTTCCCTTAGGCGTATCATGATCCTATTACCGCGGGTTCAAATCCACTGATTATGATCACTGGTTGTCAGCACCTTACACGCGTCCGTTTCACCAAAGTGGTAAATGAGTTAGTGAGTTTGGTTTGACGCCGCTTTTATCTTTTATCACAGAAGAGGAATGTTCCCATGTAGGAAATCGAACCGGGCGCAAACGCTTTTTACCACTTGGCTAAGCGACCATAGCCTGCATCATTTTGGTTTTTTTCCATCCACATCTTACACACACACCTAATAGGACTGAAATAATGTACAACGCGTGGCGTTAAATACAACTCATTCACTCATCAAGGATGAGGTGAGGTGAAACAACGTCCTGTTCACTGATACCCCGTTCACATGCACAACATTTACTCCCATAAGTAATTTTGCACATGTGTAACTATGCACACATGTGTACATGTAAATGTACTATGCGTTAACATGGAAATTAATTAATGTGTGTAAATGAAGTATGTAAATGGTGTAAGGTACACATATTCATCAGTCTTTTTAGGACGTTCAACAGGAAAAAAAGTTGTTTTCACCAAAAGTCACTTGAGAAGAGAGTTAAGTCACAGAAACCTTCACATGAAGCAACATGTGTTTTGTTTAATCTGTACATAACTTTTTCACTCTTTGAAACCCAAAGGAAACACTGCCCACCCAGCTCTGAATGTCCGCATAAAAGTCGGTATTGCTGTGTTCTTATCAGCCTCAACTTCAGGATACATATGTGGTCCGATTTGTTTGGCGTTGGCAAATCAACAGATATATTAATTAGATCATTCTCTGGCATTGGCATAAAAGTTCCATTTACAACATATACACCCAGCGCATATTTGCAATGGTGTAAATTTACATTTGCACCTGCTCCAAGCATACAGCAAATTTGATCCTGGTGTTAATATACATACGTGAGTAAACGCGTTCACATGACACATATACACACATATGTATAGAGGTAGCGTTTGTGTTATAGCCTTAGGTAACGTTGTTTCCAGTATATTCTAGAATCCACCAAGTTTTAACTTCCAGATTGGTCGAAAATAGTAGTTGCCTATATAAGATTCCACAGATAATAAGATTCAAGGTAGCTGTTAATACAATGACATTTCTACTTGGGCTGGGACGGGTAACTCGGGTACCCGGGTCGGGTGGGTACTGAGTTGGACCCGGGTACCCACAGGACTACCCGGACCCGTGGTTAGTCATGTGATATATTGTTTAATGACAAAAATTATCTAGAACTCTACACTACAAGTCACTAATGTTCGCATTTCTTTCTGACTATGCACCCATTCCTTCTGACTTTTCATATGGTTGAATAAAGATATGAATAAAGATAAGTCTACTTCAGTGTATGCATGACCAGATCGTTTAATACGTGTATCTAAATACGTTTTGCAAGTGCTGTGTTAAAAAAAATTCCCAATCGGACATTTTGTATCCCTTGAGACATACAGTGGGTACCCGGAGAGGGTCGGGTAATAGGGGGTGGGTACCCGGGTAGTAAATTTGGACTCGTCCCAGCCCTAAAATGTTCTACTGTGCTTTGCGAAAGCACAGTCGAAGATGCACCGGTAGTAGTAGAAACACGGACTGCCTGGGCTAGGATATTTGGTCTCTCTGCACTCACTGCTCACGAGTTTCACGAAAGTGGTAACTGTCTACGATCTACGACAGTTTGGGTTTTCCTCCCACCTTACGTCGATTTGAGTTCCTGACGTCCGACAATGATACAGTTACATTATTACCGTGCTCGTGGCTTTCACTAAAATGAAGAGCTTCTGCGATCCGCGTTTGCCAGACACGTAAAGCTTGCATTACTGATACACCTTTCAAACCACGCGTCAAACTCGACTCCCTTGTGTGTAAAGCTGCGTTTAATTACTGACAATTATTTCAAAGCAGCACGTCAAACTCGACTCACTTCTGTGTGAGGCTGTAGCCCTGTTTTGGCATGTCCTGGATCACTGACCGAATTTCAAATGGACAGACTGTCTTGGCGTAGACGTCTGTTAATGGCGGGCCACATGGTGACCAATGGGCAATGTGCAGAGCTCGGTTATTTTGCAAGAATCAGGTCATGGTAGGCTACAGTGCATATTTGGTGTCTAGCTGATTGAGAGAGATTTCTTGAACCAACATTACCTGTCACCAGGTACCTAGTACCAATCTTGGAAGTGAACCTGGTTCAGCTATGTGACGAACGAACACTTTGACAACTGTGCTACCAAGCCGCCCCAGCGTATGTGTATATGAAGCATGTGCAAATAAGGTAAAGCTTAAATATCATAACAATGCAGGGATATACAATATGAACTATGTAGCTATTCACAAGGTTCATTGTTATATGTAAAATATAATATTTCTTAAATAATAATGCCATAAAATACGTATATATTGTGTAATTGAAGCTGCTACATTGTTATATATAAACTGATGGGCTAACGCTAAAGAAACATCCATGTATACATCCAAGTTTGATGGAGGCTTAAAAATGAAACAAACAAGAAAAGGTTATTTGATGGTGATGTATTGTATAAAGGTATCACAGTTGTGATTTGGACGTTACAGTGGTAGTATTTCAACGACTGTTTTCAGCCAAATAACGTTTTGATGTTTTTAATATTTGGTCAAATCCAATGTTTCAGGGTATTCTTTCTTTTGCCCGGCGGTTTAGGATGCAGCGTACAGTAAACTACGTTTATAACGAACACGCTTATAACGAACTGTCGGATATAACGAACTGTTTCTTGGTGTCGTCCATTTTCTGTATAGATGCTGTACATATGCTTATAACGAACTACGGTTATAACGAATTACAATTAGTAGTCCCTTCGAGTTCGTTATAACCGTATTTTACTGTATATACATTCTCACAGGCAAAGGTAACTGTGATCATGTGCATTTATTGCTCAATGATAACTATCTGAACGATTTGGGCAATATGATCTCGGAGATTGGTCAATCCTACATCTGTTGTCCGCGACGAACCGGCCAGATCAGAGTAACTTGATTCGAGTTTTTAATGACATCTTCAAATTAAAATAACACACAAAAATGTCTCGGCAAAACCTGGATAAAAAAAATGGATTTGTTCACTTTTTATCTTCAGCCCAATTAAAACACAGTCGACTTTATATTTTCAAAGAGCAAGAAAACATATCATGATGTTTAAAGTCACGATCACAGTACCGTTTTCCTTCTTGATATAGGTTGACATGCTTGATGAGAAGCTACCAGATATATATTGATGTAAAGCCACTTACACTTCTCCGTCAGACGGCAGGTGTTCCAGTAGGGCGCCAGCTAGCGGGAAGCGGTTGTCTCCGCAGAGGTTCCGGAAATCGTCTTGGTCTAGGGACCAGATCATAGACCCGGCCAGACCGCGATCCCGGATGTACTTCGCCTGGAAGCAAACCACAGATCGACAAATCAGATAAGACAACAGGAACCCTATTACATATCAATCACACGAGGCTACTTGAACACAATGTCAGCAGTTGGAACACAATGACTACAACTGGGACACAATATCTACATCTGAAACACAATTCCTATAGCTGACAACAGATACCTACATTTAGCACAACGATACCTACATTTGGCAACATAATACCTACTGCTGGCAACAGATACCTACATTTAGCACAACAATACCTACATTTGGCAACATAATACCTACTGCTGGCAACATATACCTACATTTGGAACAATAATACCTACATTTGGCTACATAATACCTACTGCTGGTAACTGATACCTACATTTGGCACAATAATACCTACATTTGGAACAGTAATACCTACATTTGGCAACAGATACCTACTGCTGGCAACAGATACCTACATTTGGCACAATAATACCTACATTTGGCACAATAATACCTACATTTGGCACAATAATACCTACATTTGGCAACAGATACCTACATTTGGCACAATAATACCTACATTTGGCAACATAATACCTACTGCTGGCAACTGATACCTACATTTGGCACAATAATACCTACATTTGGCAACAGAATACCTACAGTTGGCAACAGATACCTATATTTGGCACAATAATACCTACATTTGGCCACATAATACCTACAGCTGGCAACAGTATACATACAGCTGGCAACAGAATACCTACAGTTGGCAACAGTACCTAGGATTAGTAACCGATTTAAAGACCTACCTTTTCTCGGACGCTGAGAATATTGTCGTACCCAACCCAGTTGATGTCGTTGCCGACATAACCATAGGCCATGGGACTGTCGTGAATGGCGCTGTACGTACCACTCCAGTTTCCCTTCACTAACAGCTCACAGATCTAGGTTGAATGAAAATGAGGCCGCTTTTACATCGCCTTTATGTTATACATGTCAGCCGTGGATCCTCCACGATCATCCAGGGTAGAATGCATTGTATGTCAATTCTAATACGATAAAACCCTAGATCCATTCCTCAATTAATCTTTTCGGTAGTCTCAATCTCTCTTATCACTAACTTAGCACAGACTTTCCTTCGCCCATGAGTGTAAATTGATTGGACTCTAACGAAGCTATAGTAACGAATGGGTCCAGGGTGCCATAACAGGATGGACAATCAAAAGAGGGTCGTACACACTAACCACCAAAGCCTATGAGGACCCCGTTCCACAAAGTAATATTACCGCTTCGGCTTTTCAGGTAGTATACCGATGGTCTCGCTAGTACCTCAAAATAGGCGAGACTTCCGTTAGATCTCGTGTTTGGTCCGGCCATCCCGGGTCCTGCAGAACGCTGACCAAGTCCAAAGTTGGTGGGGTTGGGATCTCTCGATGCTAGACGGAACGTGCGTCCATATGCAGCCATACCAAGGACCAGCTTCTCACGTGGAGCTTTAGCGTTCAACCAACCGGTGATCGAGTCATCCTGCAAAAACAACCCTTGAAATAAACGATCCGCTCTTTTTGAAGCTCTTAGCCTTGACTGAATACGTACATGATGGTGAACTGTGCAGGAGCACTATTGCAGGAATGTTTGGTGACTAACCTTTTGAAAATTCCATATTTTAATACGGCGAAAGCTTGTCAATCTTGCCTGTACTCTTTACAGTATTAACGCTGTCCAAAAACAATGCAGATTGCCGCTTTATACTTTTTTGTCTGGAATGCGGGAATTCCGGGTGTTTTTTCACGGTGAAGAAATGTTAAAAACAAATATCGGTCCTTCATTTCCACTTAAATGAGCTAGGTTAAAAACGAATATATACCACGGCGTCGCAACTTGCTGTTTAGAGTTACGCCCCTTACCCGTCGTCGAAAATGGTTTCCGAGAAAACCCCATTGACAGTACTGAGCACCAAGTCCCAAAAAATATTTCAAAGCTCACTCTGTACAATATTAATTCTCGAAGTTGATTCTCAAATTACATCTCTATATTTATCCTTTAATGATGTATGCAAAAGGTAGCCCTTGTATCAATAGCGGTTTCAGGGAAAATGTGTCCCATTACGGAGTATAGTCCAAAATCCAAAAAACTAAAGGGCCACAACTGTAAAATATATATTCTCAATGCCAGTTTGCAAACAAACTTGATCTACATAATTTTCCCTTGATGATATATGCAAATTGCCATCCTTTTATCCACAGTGGCTCCGAGAAAAAATGGGGCGTTGGGGTAGCCTAGTGGTTAAAGCTTTCGCTCGTCACGCCAAAGACCCGTGTTCCATTTCCCACATGGGAACAATGTGTGAAGCCTATTTCTGGCGTCCCCAACCGTGATATTGCAGGAATATTGCTAACAGCGGCGTAAAACCATATTCACCCATTCACACACTCCGAGGACAACGTATCCAATTTGTGGGAACAGTGTACAATGTCCAAAAGATCGGCCATATTACAACTGACTTAATCATACATACCACATCCCGGTAGAGGGCGCTGTGAATCCCTGTTGTGCTCTCCCAACTGCCATGGAAGTCGTAGGCCATAATATTAATGAAGTCAATATTGCTGCAAAATCAAAACAGCATTATGACAACAGATTGTGCGTCGAACCAATCTAATATCTCTTGAATATGAGTAATTCTTCATATTTTAGCAAACATGTATGGTATTCGCGTTTCTTTTGTCGGTGAGTATATATTGAAGCCTACTCCAACTCGAATCAAAACATAGTTCAATTCTGTCAAATAATTCCTTTTTTTTATATCTAATATACTACTCCAAAGATATAAAGTACACCCCACTATTTTATATGACAATAGTTAATACGTTATGTTCATGACAGCTTAACAATAATCATATGAAAAAATCATATGAAAAATCATCGGGTGTTCATTAACGTCTTTGGAGATTCAGATGTTTATTTCAATTGTCACGTAGAAACAAAATAAACTTACTACAGTAAACTACGGTTATAACGAACGCGCTTATTACGAACTGACGGATATAACGAACTAACCTTTTAGTCCCGACTATTTTCTGTAGTTATGCTGTATATATGCTTTTAACGAATTACGGTTATAACGAACTAAAATTAGTGGTCCCTTTGAGTTCGTTATAACCGTAGTTCACTGTATTTTATTAGGCATTTTGGTGTCAGACACTAGAGCCCGCAGGGTAGCCAAGTAGTGACAGTCATCGTTCGTCAAGCCGACGACCCGGGTTCGATACCTCACATATGTGAATCCCGTTTATAGTGTACCCTTGTTTGTTTGTTTGTTTAACGCCGTACTCAGCAATAATCCAGCTATATGACGGCGGTCTGTAAACAATCGAATCGGGACCAGACAATCCAGTGATTGATATCATATGCATCGATCCGCCAACTGGGATCAATGACATGCATCAACCAAGTCAGCGAGTCTGACCACCCGATCCCGTTAGTCGCCTCTTCCGACAAGCATAGTCGCCTTTTACAGCAAGCATCCGTAGCCGAAGACCAATTCTACCCCGGATCTTCACGGGTCTCGGACCTATTGACGCTTGTCAGCATATGTCTATGTTTGACACCCTACACACCAAGGTGACCTTTAATAATGACGCTTTGTATCGGTCGAACCTCGTTGTGTCGAACTCGTGGGGAACTGAAAAGGGTTCGAGTTATCCGATGTTCAAGACATCAGGAACGTTTTATGCTTAATTTTGATGCTTGGATCTCTCAAATGAGTTCGAGACAACCGGAAATTCGACACAACGAGGTTATAACTTCTCTACGTGTAAGCGCTGTTTGACCTACCGGCTGATCTCTTCGATCTGGTAGTAGTTGTTTGCTTGGTTGATGCCAGCAACAACGGCGATGGTCAACAGCAGTCTCGGCTTTTTACTTATCCTTGACTCCTCGGTGAAAGCCGCATTCAGCGTCTGTAACACACCAATAGGCATTATTTAGTTGACCGACGACAAAGTAGACACAATTTATGGTTGGTTGGTTGGTTGGTTGTTTAACGCCGCATTCAGCAATATTCCAGCTATATGACGGCGGTCTGTAAATAATCGAGTCTGGAACAGACAATCCAGTTATTAATATCATGAGTATCGATCCACACAATTGGGATCGATGACATACATTAACCAAGTCAGCGAGCCTGACCACCCGATCCCGTTAGTCGCCTTTTACGACAAGCATAGTGGCCTTTTACGGCAAGCATGGGTTGCTGGAGACCTATTTTAGCCCGGATCTTCACGGGTTCACAATTTATGGATAACGACTTCTTTATTTACTGTAAAGGCAGTCTTTTCGGTATAAATCCTTATACACCAAGTACTAATAGAAACCTCCTGTATTTTGAATTAAACGCCACCAGAAATATTCCACCAATATTATGTACAGCGGTCTATAAATAATCGAGTCGGGACCAGACAGAATTCCATCAAGCGCATTGATCAACGCAATTGGTATACGATGACAAGCAACGAACCAAGTCGCCGAGCCTGGCCACCCGATCCATCCATCGGTGAAGATCCGGGTTAGAATTGATTTTCAGCAACCCATGCCTGTCGTGCAAGGCTTTGAACAACACACGCCTTTTGTGGGGTTGATATATTTTGTCGACTCTCGTGGGGTTTAAGAAACTTTGTGAGAAACCTGTTTCTCCACTGAAGTAAGCCTCTGCACACATTGTAATAACCAAGTAGGCCTCTACAAACCAGGTACCTCCGGTCCAGGGCCCCGTTCCACAAAGCGATCTTAGTGCTAAGTCTGTCGTAAGTCTATGTTAAAGTATGGGAGTTACGATCATCTTAGCACTACGATCGCTTTGTGGAACGGGGCCCTGAACAGTAACCTGTCATACTTGCTAACAGTTCCCGATCCTGGAATTCGATCCCACATATACTATATTGATTCCCAGTTTGTTCCTCAATCACACATTGAGGCCTTACGGATATATTGGTTGGTTGGTTGCATTCTTGTTGTTTAACGCCGCACTCAGCAATATTCCAGCTACATGACGGCGGTCTGTAAATAATCGAGTCTGGAAGAGACAATCCAGTGATTAATATCATGAGCATCGATCCACGCAATTGAGATCGATGACATGCATCAACCAAGTCAGCGAGTCTGACCACCCGATCCCGTTAGTCGCCTCATACGACAAGCCTAGTCGCCTTTTACGGCAAGCATGGGTTGCTGAAGACCTATTCTACCCCGGATCTTCACTGGTCTCCTTACGCATAGACGAAAACGATTTTGCAGTCCTGCTTTGGGAAGGTCAGAAATAATATTATTTGGAGTGTGTAATAAAAAGTTGTTTGGTTTTTTTATCTTTTGAATTGATCATAAATCTCAGTCATTTTATGAATATAATAATTGTATTCTATATTTGTCAAAGTCATAACTGAGCGCTCGTTATAGTCACAGAACATGTGTTGCCTCTGCGAAATTGACTATAGGCGCCGGTCGAGTATTTGGTTTGCTCGATTGCTAACATGTATAGTTGGGATTGCAAAACCATTGGTTAAAAGGGATCGACTTAGAAACAAAACGGTTTAAAAACAGAAACCAACAACAGGTCAATAACATAAACCAACACATATGTATGACAACTGCACCCAAATGACTTCACTTCAACAATTAAAAACTGACCTTTCTAAAATGTATAGAAAAAAAGTTTCGACAAGTTCCAACATGTTGTATGAGATAGGAAGATAATTACAATACAAATTAGGCAAACGTAGCAGGAGGTTTATAATCAGGGATAGGCAACTGATGTCATGCCAGGGAGCTGGGAAATAACCTACGAGATAAACTGTTAAATATCGTTGATGTTGGTGTGGAAACGATGACACAGAGATGAGTAATTGATGAGTGTCTTCTTCTTTTTAGTTCTTTTAATTTGGCTCGTCACGCTGAAGACCCGGGTTCGATTCCCGACATGGGTACAATGTGTGAAGCCCATTTCTGGTGTCCCCCGCCGTGATATTGCCGGAATATTGCTAAAAGCGGCGTAAAACCATACCCACTCACTCACTCACTCTTTTAATTTGATCTTAAATTGAAATGTGTTACATAAAACGAAGAAACGGAAATGAATATGTGAGGAATATCTATCTAAAATATATACTTAACAACAAATATTCTTGTGAAAGCCAATATTTCAGTTGTTTTTCAAACAAGTAAAGTTTGGTTTTCAATATTGTAGTACGTGTATGGAATCAAATCACAAAAACGCAACTGCTGCAGAAAAGCATGCATTCCATGCAAAAGTTGACTTTTATGCAAGCCCCATGCATTTCACTACTCAAGAATAGGTATAAAAACATGTGCGTTAAGGGGATTCCATATGCATTGTTTAGCATCGTGCTGAGAACAACCACTCAGAAAAACAATAAAATTACGCAATTATTCAACATTACGAAATGCCACGCCTGTCCGAAAATGAGCGTCTGCGAGCCATTGGTATGCTTGAAGCAGGATCGAGTCAACGTGATGTTGCAAGGCAATATAACGTCCACAGAAACACCATTTGGTGTTTAGGGTAACGTTGGAAACAGACGAAAGCAGTCAGAGACCATCCTCGGAGTGGCAGGCCATGCGTAACCAATAATCGAAAAGAAAACTGGATTCGAACAACACACCTACGAAATCGATTCCAGCCAGCAACAGTGACTGCAAGACGCATCCCTGGCCTTCGATGAATATCTTCACAAACCGTACGTCGCTGCCTCAGATGTGCAGGGATTGTCACCAGAAGACCTGCCAGACATCCTATTTTGACAGGAAACCACTTTCAAGCACGTCTACAACGGTGCAGACAGAGTCTTCGCTGAACGGCCATGCAGTGGGGACAAGTTCTATTCACTGACGAGTCTCGTTTTCACCTCAGCCACAGCGATGGACGGATTCGAGTGTACCGACGTCGAGGTGAACGTTACGTCAATCATTGTGTCATGGAAGAAGATCGGTTTGGGGGCGGCAATGTTATGGTATGGGGTGGGATTACAGCAAGACAGAGGACCCGTTTGATAGTGGTAGAGGGTAATCTCAATGGACAACTCTACCGCGACGAGATCATCGGCCCTGTTGTTCTACCGTTTTTGCGTCGTCATGGCCCAGGCATTACCTTTCAACATGACAACGCCCGGCCTCATTTGGCTCGATTCAGTATTCCCTTCAACAAAACAACGTGAATGTCATCCCCTGGCCGGCTCGCTCCCCTGATCTCTCACCAATCGAGCACATGTGGGATGACATGGATCGGCGCCTTCGACGTTAACCACGTGTTCCACAGACACTCCAGGAACTTCGAAACATGCTCCAGCAGATATGGACAGATATCTCACAGGACACCTGGTCCATTCCATGAGACGAAGATGTGTTGCTTGCATCGCAACCAGAGGTTGACCAGAGATTGACGCTATTGATTTGTAAATTGACATTTTGGCATGTTCATGTTTTTTTTATGAAATCACGCATTTTCTGAAGTCAGTATGCCAAATTAAACCATATGAACACTTACAGGAGTCTATTATCTGTTGCAAACCGAAATTGTTTCAGATTTTGTAAAAAAAACCATAACTTTGCATTAAATCGTATTTAATGTCACAGGAACTTTTGTTGTTCAGTATATATTATCAACTTTAACATTAAAAACTAAAATTGGTAATTTTAACAGGCCTTGAGCACAATATTTTCAGATTGGTCCGATTATGTGCAGTTCTCCTGCGGTTGGAGTCGTGTTTCATTTTCTGTTTGGATGTGAAGCTCTTTCCCAGCAGCGAATTATAAACATTCCTAACAAAATTTATGTATGGCCAAATGTGTATAATTTTAAAAGACTAAAAGAATCTCCCCAAATTTATCTGTTTAATGCTAAAACATGCTGACGCTGTTAAGTATAACATTTTATGTTTGTAATCCTGTCATCTTGATTTTGGTTTAATAAATATATTTATAAATGTTTTCTCGTGCACACAGTCTGTGGTTCTTCTCTCTCGAGAAATAACCTACGGTATTCGACGTTATAAGCGCCCCGCTCTAATAAGCGCCCACGGCAATATTTGCTAATAGTGAACAATCCCAACTGGCATTCTTCCGATTGATCAATGAACACTTATTTATTTGTGTATAATATGCACTCGTGTGTTATATGCCTCCTTTATTATGGGCAATTAAATTCTGGAAAATATATCTGTCGTGTATAATACGCAAAGACTTTTCTTTTGTATCTTTTCAGGCTGTCACCATAAATCACGAAAATTACGATCTTTCAACTCTGTATTTTTCTCTCATCAAAATTATATTCTAATAAGAGCCCCCTATTTCTAATTTTGAGAGCGCCCTGGGCGCTTATTACGCCGAATACGGTATATTGTTATCATATGGAATGGACAACGTACTACGCCGTCGGGGTACGATGATACAGAATTATCTAGTCAGACATTGTGACCACCCAATCCACAACCACATCTACTTGGACTATTCTGCCCCAGACAGTGCCTACCATCCCTGTTAGCTATTGATTCCACCCATCTCCCATCCTCGATTATTTAGTGTGTTACATCTACATTCTATTACATTCAATACCCCAGAGCCATTCACCAACAAAGATTCGTTTTAGAAATTACGCCACCTGCTCCATCTCTTTTAACACCACCTCAGCACAGAAATTCTCTTGCTCATGAGATATAACAACCAATCAAAATGCTTCGTCTGACATGTCTAAACACGAGTTCGGCATATGTCTACATTCAAAAGCACGACCTCATACGAGCGATCCCTCGGAGTATTTCAACGAATCACAAAATATATTTTTTTAAGATGGAAAAAGAGACTACGAAAAAGCAACTAAGACAGGGGAGCGAAGTCTTTATGCTACAAGACATTCCTGTTGTATTTGCGACAGCACACAAAAGTCGACATGAGTACAAATGATGCCAATGCTTGTTTAAATGGAAGAACGGCGTCATTTGATTTGACGGTATTTGTAAGTGTCGTATCATTGAAACCGACCCATAAAGGTGCTGAATAGGTCCAGGGTACGAATATATTATGTCATAATAGAATGGATATACGATATACTAAATAACTGAGGCCAACCATATTCCAGAAATGGTCGTTAAAAGCTTGGCTCGATTACAGGGCGATAATTTCCACCAAAGCCATGGTTTTACCACAACTGTGTTTTTAATGACGAACTATGAGGATCTCTTTGATGTAACTTGTAATTTAGTGAGTGCGTGAGTGAGAATGGTTTTACGCCGCTTTTAGCAATATTCCAGCAATATCAGGGCGGGGGACACCAGAAATGGGCTTCACACATTGTACCCATGTCGGGAATCGAACCCGGGTCTTCGGCGTGACGAGCGAACGCTTTAACCACTAGGCTACCCGACCGCCCCACTTGTACTTTAGAGCTACGATATCTACAGTGAACATACATCTACACTTGCAACATATTTTATAACAATGCCAATGTGTGACACTTGCCTAAGTTTGGACCTGTGAAGATCCGGACTAGAATTCGTCTTCAACAACCAATGCTTGCTGTAATAGGCCCCTATGCTTGTCCTAAGAGCCGACTAACGGGATCGGGTGGTCAGGTTCGCTGACTTGGTTGATGCATGTCATCGTATCCCAATTGTGTGGATCGATGTTCATGATTTCAATCACAGGATTGTCTGGTCCAGACACGATTATTTACAGACCCCTTCCCTTCACCTCGACATACCTGCACCAGTGTTGTAAACCTGGCTCTGTCGGTTGCTGGCCCTCCTCTTCCGGCAGGGTACTCCCAATCAATGTCAAGGCCATCAAACTTGTGCTCCCTGAGATAACCTATGGACGTCTCTGAAAAACTCGCCATGTTGGCTGCACTGGACACCAGTCTGGTGAACTGGTCATTGTCCGCCTCCCAGCCTCCGATGGCCAACAGAACCTTCAGGGCTGGGTTGGACTTCTTCAATGACATTATTTGACCATATCTGCCAGGGAACAATTAATATTGATATTAATAATGATAATAATAATGATAATGGGTTTGAGTTCTTCAATGACATTATTTGACCATATCTGCCAAGGAACAATTAATAATAATAATAATAATGATGGGTAGGACTTCTTCAAGGACACTATTTGACCATATCTGCCAGGGAACAATTATTAATAATAATAATAATAATAATGGGTTGGACTTCTTGAAGGACATTATTTGACCATATCTGCCGGGGAACAATTAATATTAATATTAATAACGATAATGATAAAGATTTATTTGCTTGATGCATTTGGGCGTTAGAGATCAGCAAGAATTTATCCGGGGTGGAATAATGGGACGAATGTTTGTTCTTCATCACTGCTTCAGATCCTGCAATACTACTTCGAAAAGAGTAGCTGTGCAATTTTTGTTTTCACATTTTAGCAGGATATCCAGCATGTTCATAAAACCTGAGGCAAACCTATTTTCAGGAACAATTGTCTGTGGGCACCTGAGACGAGCATGCCACCCGTGACGCCAAGCAGAACATGGATTAACCTACAGAGTGAAGTCGTTGTATTCGGTGGGGTTGATGGTGTTGTTTTCGAGGGCGGCGAAGGCGTAGATGATGTGTGTGCACAGCGCTGGGTCGATGTCCTGCGGGCTGAACGTCGCGTTCAGTCGGTACTGGGACCAGTTGGTGAAGTAGCAGAACCGAACATAACCGTGACACCCGGTGGCAGCGATAAACAACGTCAGCAGCAGGGTGCGGGGAGAGACGGGGGCCGTCATCCTGGCCTGTGGAGAAAAACGTCATAGCCCATTGAGATACCATGCTCTTCGGACAGACGCTCTATCAACTAGGTCACAGAGGCGGTACTATAATGTCGGTGCGCCGTGTGTGACGGCCTCAGTGATACCCGAACTTTGGTCATAGTGACCAACTTGTGCTACAAGAGAGTTTGTTTGTTTGTTTGTTTGTTTGTTTGTTTGTTGTTTAACGCCGCACTATATGACGGCGGTCTGTAAATAATCAACTGGACCAGACAATCCAGTGATTGGCATCATGAGCATCGATCCACGATGACATGCATCAACCAAGTCAGCGAGCCTGACCACCCGATCCCGTTAGTCGCCTCTTACGACAAGCATAGTCCTTTTCAAGACCTTTTCAAATCGGGGATCTTCACGGGTTAAAACGTCATACAGAAAGTACCAATTATGACATCTGATTCAAAGTTTATCTTGTTAAGATATGTTGCAATACATTCAAGCTAATGCTACAAATAATGACTACAATGATTTAAAAACAATAATATCATTGCACAGTATATATTTAAGACACGGTTTACAAACAAGATGTTAGGTGAGGTGAAATGGGGTTTTAAAACTGGATGTGAGGTTCGGTGAAATGGGGTTTAACGTCGAATTCAAGATTATTCCACGTATATAGCGACGTGCATTTACGTGTGTGTGTGTGTGTGTGTGTGTGTGTGTGTGTGTGTGTGTGTGTGTGTGTGTGTGTGTGTGTGTGTGTGTGTGTGTTAGTCCGGCCTAATGCCGGTTTTATAGTGCTAGCACACTGAGATACAATGCCGCAGTTTAACATGAATACCCCACTCAGACACAATATACTAACTCCGAACCATGCTTTATACCCTTAATGTCGACCGTCAGGCAGGGAACGAACAAGTACCATCTCTTAACGTCGTTTGGTATGATGTACCGGGGATCGAACCACCGACCTTCCGCACTCCGGGCAGACACTCTATCCACCAGAACACGGAAGCGGTCCATATGCCTCGGAAAATTTGAGGTTGTAGTGAAACAATTTAGGCTTTGGTGGCTCCAAACTTGCAACGACTGCCAAATAGCCGAGCGTAGTTTAACATTAAGCATTGAAACAAGCAATGATTGATAATGAAAGCACATGACACACCGATGTGTGTTTATACAGTGTGTGAGATCAATGCAACGTTCCAAACTGCAACCGCGGAGGTAGTGCTGTAAATTCGCGACAATGCTAACATTCTGAACCAATCGGAGACTCGACATTACAGAACGCCAATACTAGACTTAAGTGACATCTAATAATTGATAATCTGTAAACCAACGTATCCAGCACTTAACGTATTCTTAAAACTATGGGGTCAATGGACTAAGACGCCGCAATTAGCTGGTAAGTGTAGCGTCGCTAATCGAGCCACGATCCACTGGTCATGGTTCTGTCAGGTGCGGTCTGGTAGCCTAGCGGTTAAAGCGTTCGCTCGTCACGCCGAAGACCTGGGTTCGATTCCGGACATGGGTACAATGTGTGAAGCCCTTTTCTCGCCGTGGTATTGGTGGAATATTGCAAAAAGCGGCGTAAAACCATACTCACTCACTATGATCAGCCACACTTTCGGTTTCTATCTGATTGAAATAGCAGGTCGTGGCATCAGTGATATACTGTTAAAAAAAGAAGAGGTCGTTTCTGTGTTCAGTTGCGTTCCTAAGTAGTACAAGGATCCGCAGATCGTAGGTTCGATTCCATTCCTGTTTAAGATCTTCGTTTATCAGGACCTATCATTCCTTGCCGCTTTCACCAAAGTGGTAATCGTCTAACAGGGAGTGGGTACGGTTTAAAGCCGCTTTTAGCAATATTCCAGCAATGTCATGGCGGGTGACACTGGAAATTGGCTTCACACATTGTACCCATGTCGGGAATCAAACCCAGGCCTTCCTCGCTACGAGCGAACGCTTTAACCACTAGGCTACCCCAATTTATAGTTATTATTATTACAGATATATACACCCGTATTTTATAACACTAACTTCATTAGGTTATCTAGGTTAGGTTAGGTTTAACGTCGATTTAATCAATATTTCAGTTATATCACGCCGTTGTCAGGGAGGAAAGTTGCATTGATCTTGATTACGACTTTGGTGAAACCCACGCGCAGGATACGATGCTAACAAACGAAGATCATAAACAGGACGAATAATGGGATAGAAGCTACGATCCGTGGATACCTGCACTGCTACGGAACTGCCGCCCCTTACACGGACAAAAGTGATGTCTGATACACTTCCCTATTTTGACTTGTACCATATGTTCCCGTGGTGTTTTTTTCAGGTGAGTAATTGCCTTGCCTTTGCGTGTGTTTGTGACTGGTGCCACCCATGGGGCAGGATACGTTCACCTTTTCGCACACATAATCACTATTTCATACTGATTCATAAAAACCTGCACAAGATAATAAATCAATAAATCGACTCTGCTTTTAGCAGATATCCTATAAATATGGAAAGTGTTTTGTCGCTTTGTTTACACCACCGTACCCAAAATACCCCGACAAACAATTAAGAAACGTTCTGTATATGAAAACAGATTTCCATAATACCTTCACCCACACGTAGATACTCTCCAGCGATGTCGAAAAACAGACAAAAACACTGACAATCGAAAACATGCACTTGTTTTTCATCACATATCTACAAGTATCCAGTATTTTACACACAAATAACATTCCTAGTGAGACAAAGTTTAAGCTATAAAGGTCATCCTTGTGTACTTCGGCGTGTCGTCTACCTATGTCCGGTAGTCGCATGCCTGGTATGCAGATGTGTATGTAGTAGCTTCCTCATCCACACCAACCGCTAGGTAGCGGAAGCAACTATGTAGACTACCTTGCTGTTTCAACGATGTACTATATTTAAAATAATTGTAGTGTTTCATTTTATAATGTTTGAAAATCATGTGTTGAGATGAACTCGGTACTTGAAAAAGGAAAGTTCGGATTTAAAGCGTCAACCAGTTTCGATTTGTCGTCAGATAAGTCCTGTCAGTATACACCATGCTCATTGTATATACAATGTATAAAAAGATACGGTATTTATCATATACGATTATAAATTAACAGATATTATTCATAAATATACATTTAAAGATGCACATATAAGTACGTCGTTAATTCATAAGCAGGAACATTTAGAACTTTAGGCGTAACAACATTCATCATTTATTATGACATATGAATCGAAATATATTGTCCCAGAAAACAATGCTTAAAATAATAATTATACTTAAGGCTGTTAAAAGAAATATTTAGGATTATAATTTCAATTAAAAAGTGTTTTAACATATCTGGTTTTGCAGCTGTAGCTGAACAAATATCTAGTCTCCAGGCAAAATCTAAGATAATGGGCAATTACTCCCTCGGGTGGAACGATGGATTGCCGCAAAGGCAAGTAGACAAAATATGTAGGGGCAATTGTGTTTATGCCCGTAAGGTAGTTACGCCACTGTCGAAAAAGAAACTTCAGTTAGAACAATATTGACTGTTGTCACTGTCATACAGCCGAATCACTGACGTAGACAGGTGTTGTTTGTGAGAAAGGAGAATACTATTTTGACGATGGAAAATAAGAATGACATGAAAGATTAAAAGGTTACCTCACGTATGTGTTTTGGGTATTAAATAAAATGTAACGTCTCTAAATCAGTGCAAACTACCCAACACACACACACACACACACACACACACACACACACACACACACACACACACACACACACACACACACACACACACACACACACTCCCCAGTTACTCCGAACTAGTTAAAATTCCCAAATTCTTGCAGATTTAAAAGGATTACAAAGTAGGGAGGATGACCTATTGGTAACTTTAAAGAAAGGAGCTTTGTTCCCGAGGCATCAAACAGCTGAATTACATACCTTTTTTTATCAATTAATGTAAATATTTCTGGAATATAAAAGCAATCTCTATCCAAACTAAGTACTAAGCAGTACAATAACAGTTTTTATGTAAAATTAATTATCCTGTCGAGGATTTCAACTTGTTTATTCTTTCAATGCAATGTTTCAATGCAGCACTTGGGTGAGTGAGTGAGAAAGTTTGGTTTAATGCCGATATGAAACAATATTACAGTTTTATCACGGCGTCTCAGTGTAATATGGAAAGAAAGCCCAAAGTGATCCAGATCTTACACGTTAACCACTTGAGTGAAACCCGCAAGTACAGATGCTGACAAACTTAGGCACATGATCAAGGTGACCCGAAATTCGAACACACGGTCACAAGTTTCAGGCAAGCCTAGGTGGCGCGTCTGCACAGGCAATTGTGACAACTTAGATATTACTTATTAAAAGTATGGCATCAGAACTTTATAATTAGTTGCTTTAATGATTTCACGTGTAATCTCTCGGTAAATAGGGGTATATAAAGATCTGACAAGTCATAAATATCTTTATATGAAAAACTAAAACTGCCACCAAAACAACTGCTATCATCCCTTATCTGGGCTATAAGACATACAACTAAAGAATTAATCACGTTTTTGAATGGCATTTAGAAGTGATACACATAAGGAAGAGAACTTATAGATATCAACTTATTTAATATGACGAAACACAACGTTTCGGAGTATATGCTTATTTCTTTATTGGATGAAGGAATGATTCACTTGATGAAGAAGTAAGCATATACTCCGAAACGTTGTGTTTCGTCATAATAAAGAAGTTGACATCCATAAATTCCCTTCCTTAAAGTACTAATGTTGTTTAACTTTGAAATTCAAGTAATATATGACACTGATCTTAATCTGTTAAATCCAGAAATATTTCAATTAAATCGTCATACGTAGATATAAATGTTACGACATATTACTACTCACCAAGTTACTGTCACGGCGATTGTGATGAAGTGTCCAAGTTGTCCAGAGTCAGCTGGTTTTATTCACTTCCACCTACAATGACTGTCTCTCATTAGGTAGCCGTCACCTCACCGCGAACAGCCGCAGTGTGAAGGAAGAGAGCCCTACAGCCCTGTCAGCACGCACGGGGAAGCCTTGGGGTGGACCACGGGAGTTGCAACAATAGACGGTCGGGCACCCGCTGGTGCGTGGGACAACGACGAAACTGTACTTGCGTGTATAGGTTTACACAAACTTACTCGTTACATGTTCAACTTAATCAGAAATATAATGGGATCTCATCTGCAATGTTCATCCTGTGGGAAAATTATGGACTTCATAAAACGAATGGTTTTTCGAACCGACCGTTCTCCTGTGAAATTTTCTGTCATCAAAAGATTTAACTATTTTTGGTTGTGGCGAAAGAATATTTACACCTTTTGTAGTATACTGATAAAGTTATACGTGACATTTTATCAAATCTGCTGAACTTGTTATCGATTAAAGAAATATTGGTATAACTTCACGTTGTGTTTGAGTTTGTGTAGTACTTAATGCGATGTAACAGTAATGATAAAATGACGAACTCACTATGATATTCAACTATATGTCAGGCGCATAGATATTCATGCATACAGTGCTCATTATAAAGCCTCATGTTATTTCAAGCTGGTATTGTTACTATAACCACCATCGTCATCATCATCATCATAACCATTAGCATTATTATTTCTATTACTATTTGTGATGTATAGAAGACATGTGGTAAGTAAGATATCAATCTGAGCATGTGACGGAAATATAATGTTTTGGTTTTTGTTTGTTGTTTAACGCCGCACTCCGCAATATTCTAGCTATATGACGGGGAATATATAATGAAATATATAACACATATGAATAATGAACATAACTGTTATTTAACTTGACGGGTTGTTTTAAAAGGTCATAAGCATTCATACGTAATCGGTCATGGGTAGCTTTTATGTGGTACAAACAGATTATGAATTTACTGTTATTACATTTAACCCCTTATTAGTATGAGCAAGTACACTAGTTAAAGTGTCGTGTAAAACCAATACAGGGTCTCCTTTAACAAACGTCATACACATTCATTTTTTCTAAAATAATGCATATCTGAAAGGATATTATTGCGCATTTTAAACATGTCATTGTCATAAGCCTGATACATCAGTAATCTTTAGTTCCACGGCAACCTAAGCTGGTCGTGAGGGATGACTTAGTGGATCGGGTGGTCAGGCTCGGCGACTTGTTTGATCGCGTGTCATCGTACCCCGACGACGTGGATTGTTGCTCACAATATCGATCATTGGATTGTCTGGTTCAGACCCGAATATTTACAGGCCGCCGTCATATACCTGGATTATTGCGTTATTGGGTGTGGCGTTAATCAACACCACACACACACACACACACACACACACACACACACACACACACACACACACACACACACACACACACACATTATCAACTCTGACATTGTTTGTGAGCTTACCTGACTCTTTAGCATACTACGCATACCAACTATCTGTGGTTGTTTTTTCCGCATTTTGTGATCAGTGGGAAGCTGGACTTGTCTTGATCACCATCGCCGTTTAGTTAATTGCAGTGGAGATTATAACATAAGTATGTGTTTGTCACATGCTATTTATACGAATTAGGTGTCCGATTTTTTGTATTTACAAAAATACCCCAGCGGACATACGGGTTAGAATAGGTCACCAGCAACCTATGCTGGTCGTAAGAGGTAACTAAGTGGATCGGGTGGTCAGGCTCGATTGATTGATTGCTTGTCATCGAAGCGTGGATTATTGTTCACAATATCGATCTTGATTCGGAGTTCTTGATTTATCCCCTTAATGCCGAGCACCAGGCACAATAACAGCATTTTGGGATAAGTAAGGATAGGATTTATGGATGAACAACTTCTTTATTAGAATTAAGAGCTACGTACGTTTCGGTGTAGGTTCTAACACCGTTATCAAGCAAGTGATGTACAGAGTATGGTTGACAAGTATATATACAGGTTAGAAGTTAGAACCTACACCGAAACGTCGCTCTTGGGGTGTGAGTGGGGTTGGTTAGGGGCGAGGGGGGTGGGTGGGGGGTGGGGGGTGGGGTGTGGGGTGTGGGTGGGGTTGGTTAGGGGCGAGGGGGGTTGGTGGGATCGAATCACCGACCTTCCACTTTTTATATTGAAAGGGTAGAGTACCATAATGGTTACAGAGTTGTGTGAAGCCCATTGTCGGTGTTACCATGTCGTGGTATCGCGGGAATATTGTTAAAAGCGGCGCGAAACCTTACTTACTCTTTGAAAACCACGAGGAGAGTGAAGAGGTTGAGTTTTAGGCCTTAAGCAATATTCCAGCAATATTACAGAGGTGGACACCAGAAATGGGCTGCGCACATGTACCCATGTGGGGTTTCGATTAACCACACGCCATCTCAAAATTACTTCAATATAGGTGTATGGCATAACTGCTATGACAAATCCTCATCGCATTCTTGTTTGTAAAATGTCTTTGTATTTTTTACATTTGACATTTTGACATTATTTTCTTGGAGCCTCATTTGTCGGTGAATTTGCCCAATGTGCTATCACTGTACTATTTTCTGTAATAGGCCCCAATGCCCCAATATATATGATAGGTATTATGTTCCTTGTAATAAGCATTATATTCCTTATGACAAATATTATGTTCCTTATGATAGGTATTATTTTCCTTATGATAGATATTATGTTCCTTATGATAGGTATTATGTTCCTTATGATAGATATTATGTTCCTTATGATAGGTATTATGTTCCTTATGATAAGTATTATGTTCCTTATGATAGATATTATGTTCCTTATGATAGATATTATGTTCCTTATGATAGGTATTATTTTCCTTATGATAGATATTATGTTCCTTATGATAGATATTATGTTCCTTATGATAGGTATTATGTTCCTTATGATAGGTATTATGTTCCTTATGATAGGTATTATGTTCCTTATGATAGGTATTATGTTCCTTATGATAGATATTATGTTCCTTATGATAGGTATTATTTTCCTTATGATAGATATTATGTTCCTTATGATAGGTATTATGTTCCTTATGATAGGTATTATGTTCCTTATGATAGGTATTATGTTCCTTATGATAGATATTATGTTCCTTATGATAGGTATTATTTTCCCTATGATAGGTATTATGTTCCTTATGATAGGTATTATGTTCCTGGTGATAAGTATTATGTTTCTTATGATATATATTATGTTCCTTATGATAGATAGTATGATCCTTATGATAATAATTATGTTCCTTATGATAAATATTATGTTCCTTATGATAAATATTATGTTCCTTATGATAAATATTTTGTTCCTTATGATAGATATTATGTTCCTTATAAGTATTATGTTCCTTGTGATAGGTATTATGTTCCTTATGACAGGTATTATGTTCGTTATAAGTATTATGTTCGTTATGATAAGCATTATGTTCCTTATGATAGGTACTATGTCCCTTATGACAAATAATATGTTCCTTGTGATTTCAATGAAGAAATATTTTTGCAACACTGAAACGATGGTCAGCCCTTCATACACAATTTCTGTTGGGTCTTCCGACTTCTGAGAATGTCATCAAAATCAATTTGTCAAATGAAATGCTTTGACACTTAATCCTCTTTACGAATAAATATGCATGGCGGCGGTCTGTAAATAATCGAGTCTAGACCAGACAATCCAGTGATTGTCATCATGAGCATCGATCCACGCTATTCGATGACATGCATCAACTTAGTCAGCGAGCCTGACCACCCGATCCCGTAAGTCGCATCTTACGACAAGCATAGTCGCTTTTTTTACGGCAAGCATGGGTTGCTGAAGACCCATTCTACCCCGGATTTTCATTCGCAAACTCTCAAGTACAAGAGAGTGAACATACTGAGGGTATATTCTTTTTCAGATTCGTCACAACACGACTATCATATCTTCCCATGCCGTCGGCTGTACTGAGCGGCCGAGTGCGTGACTGTCTCGGCCACAACCTGACTATCATCTCTACAATGTTTACCTCTTGTCACCTATCCTGTCGGCTCGCTTAACCCCCTGTTTACATGGTAATTGACAGCATAACACATGCCGTACTTAAGGACCGCGTGGCCTACGGGTTACTTTTAACCTTTAACTGGGTCTCCTCAGCTGAAAACATTCAGTGTTCAGGTGTGAGGACTTCAATGGTTAAGTCATGAAACAGTTATGAAACAGTGGTAGGAGCCATTGCGCAGGTTTGTTATAACGCCTCTTTGAACGGTATGTCAATATATCACGTTGGGGCAGCCTGTCTGTCTGTCTGTCGACGTCTGTCTGCTAGGGCAGCTTAAAGAGGGTGAAATACACGAGGACGGGCATAATGCTGGGAGCTGAACCCGCGTTCAGCGGATCCTGGGACGGCCAAGGGACACAACCCAGCTCAACGAATTGAGTCACGTCGGATAGTGTGGCCACCTTGTTCTCCGGTGTTCCGCTGTGGGTAACGCAAAAGGCTGCCGTGTCGTCTAAGGCAGAGTTGCGTCCCTTGGGCACGCCAGAAACCTATGATTGTGGGTTCGAATCCAGATTCGCCCCGATTATGTTTCTAGGGTTGTCAGCACCATACCCGTGCTCGTGGGTTTCCGAAGTGGTAAACGTCTGAGACCTGCATCATTTCGGACTTTCCTCCCACATTAAGCTGACACGCAGTGATATAACTGTAATGCTGTTAAAAGCGGCGTTAAACCCAACTCACTCACTCACTAATAGCTCGCGGGGATCATGGGGAACATACTGCCAACTTCAGAGTTCTACGTAGAATGTTTTAGACTTTGTTGGGTGGGGGGTGGGGGGTGGGGGGGTTGGATAGTGATGACGCTGTTTTCTTGCTGGAACAAAGGAATAAGGTGGATATGTTTTGGGAACTCAAAACAAGAGTCATCAGAAAGATGACAAATCCCCCCGGCAGCTGTCTGTAAAGTAACCACAAGTTAATGTGTAATTCTGTGTGTGATGAGTCAACAGTTGAATGTTCTTGAAGAAGCATACATTGTTTACCCACAAAAGATCCACCATGGTCGCATCCATATGAAATGGAAAGTAAAACAAGTGTGTTTCTGTGGGTTTTTTTATACAAACAAATGACAAATTACAAGAAACAATAACAAAACCATCGTAACATAGTCAATGAAGTCATCTTTATCCCCCGCCCATTTTAACACGTTATGGTCCCAAACCAGGTAACTGACCCAACATTTCTCTGAGCCCATGTCAAAAATAGCTGCCATGGACATTCTAAAATAAACATTTCTAAAACTCCTTAATATCAAATGGCACCAGTTCAGTATGTGCTTTATATATAGACATGCAATGTTTGGCAAGGAAATATTTATCAGTTAATTTGTTATACTCCATAAGTGAACCCACCCAAAATGAAAGTCCAACTTGTTGCCATAGAAACGTAAAAAAATAAATATTTCTAAAATGCCTAAATAGCAAAAGGCACCAGTTCAGCATGAGTCTGATAGACATGCAAAGTTTTGTTAGAAAGTATTGAATGGGTTTTGAGTTATGCTCCGGAAACGAACTCTACCCTCTAGAGCCTAAGTCCAACTTGTTGCCATGGAAACATAAATGATAAAAAATTCTAAAATAGCAAAGGCACCAGCTCAGTATGTGCCTGGTAGACATACAAAGTTTTTTAAAGAAAGCATTTAACAGTTTTTGAGTTACGCTCTGGAAAGGAACACCACCCTTATTGAACCCAAGTCCAATTTGTTGCCATGGAAACGTAAAAATATAAAATTCTAAAATTCCTAAATAGCAAAAGTCACCACAGTATGTGGCTGATAGATTTGCCAAGTTTCCATCAAATACACTGAATTATTTTCGAGTTCTGGCCCGGAAAAGGAAATGATTACGGACAGACAGACGGACGGACGGACGGGCAGACTGGCTGATCGCTGATCGCTGATCGGAATTAAGAATTTACGGAAGCGTAGTAGGGCCACGGTGATTTTTTTTTGTCTAAGTGTGTGAGTGAGCGAGTTGGGTTTAACGCCGCTTTTAACATTATTCCAATTACATCACCGCATGTAAGCTTAATGTGATGCAGGTCTCACTTCGGTGAAACCCACGAGCACGGGTATGGTGATGACAAACCTAGAAACACAATCGGGGCCTACCGGGATTCGAACTCACAATCATAGGTTTCTGATGTACCCAAGGGAGGCAACTCTGCACAGCGAATCGCGGCACCTTAGACGACTGGGCCACCCGTGTCCCCGTTTTTCTCTAAGTATCTCCTACGAAGGACTTTGTATCTCGCACGTAGGACTTACTATCTTCTACGTAGGCACGACTTATAAATGATTAGTCACTTAACTGTTGTCATACATACATTATTGATGCAGCATTCAGAAACAAGGTGTGACAAAAACAACTATCATTGCTGTCGCTAGGAGACGATGAGAATGGTTTTGACGACAGATGGCACTATAAAACCTCACGTATTGATTTACAACATTACTCTACCAGGAACTCCACTGCTGCACTAACACTGAACGATGCCTTTCGGATCCAAGTTCATGAAGCTGTTTCGTCGGATGAAGATGAAATCCCTCTCGCCGTCGAAGTCGACGTCAGAAAGAGAGTCTGTGCTCAGCGTTGTCGTCATGGGGCCGCCGGGAGTAGGTAAAACAACTTTAGCTGAGCAGTTTATGTACGGCAGGTTAAGGTCTGACCCGGAAAGAGCGGGTCTCCACCTCCACCAGGAAGACTTCCAGTTGGAAGATCAATGCCTCAAGCTGGAGGTGTTGGACGTTTCGGGGGCTGAGCTGGGATCATCTACGAAACAACGCGTTATGCTTCAAGGTGATGCCTTCATTCTGGTGTATTCTCTTCAAGACAAACACTCCTTCAAAATTGTCAAGGACATTAGAGACGAAATACTGGCCCTGAACAAAAGCAGAAACGTCCCCATTGTGATCGTAGGGAACAAGCTGGATCTGAAAAAACGCAAGCGTCACGTCCATCGAGCACTTATTGAAGCTGTAGTGAAAAGCAACTGGGGCCATATATATTTAGAAGTGTCGGCTAAAGTCTACGAAGATGTGTGCGACGTCTTCAAGATGGTGATGAGGCAGTTGGGCTTCCATTTCCCCCTGTCGTCAGCGTTAGATGGGCGATGTCAGCCATGATGTAATACTGATGTTAAACGCAGATCAGGTGACGTTGAAATGAGACCCGGTACCACGACGTACTGAACTCGCTTTTTACAAAGGGTAACTTTGAATTATCTTGATTTTTACAGTGCTACGCTGTAACTCATTTAGTTTGTTGAATGAACGTGTTGACCACTATCTGGTTTTACAAGCAAACAATCGGTAATTTTCAGTGTCTTTTCGTCCTGTTATTTCATTTACCAAACCTAATGTGGCTACGATGGTTTGTTTGTTTGTTGTTTAACGCCGCATTCAGCAATAATCCAGCTATATGACGGCAGTCTGTAAATAATCGAGTCTGAACCAGACAATCCAGTGAATGACATCATGAGCATCGATCCACGCAATTGGGATACGATGACGTGCATCAACCAAGTCAGGAAGGCTGACCACCCGATCCCGTTAGTCGCCTAATGTGGCTATGATGTTGACTTCGCCCGTATATTGTATGTCTTGTTGTAGAAAGTTGATGACAGTGCACGTATTCACCATCACATACTACGTGGAATGCAATCCATTTACAGTTTTGTTCGTCAATAGATGTGTGCACAAGGAATGTAAGATAGGAGTGTCTATCATTGGTGTTGTTAACAAATTAATAAAAATCATTCGTCATTTCAATTTCGTGTTGTTCTCATTTATTATGGATAATATTACCTGGAATTATGTTGTTGTTTTTTTTATTTTATAAGAATTTGTTGTACGATTCCGACTATATCATGGGTAACTCAGTCTCCGCTACTGTACAATGCCGACCAAGACCGAGGAGTGTTACATCTGTCTTTCAAACCAAACCATGAAATAGTTGAGTACTGAATCGTTATATCGTTATGAAAACTATGAAACACATTCACGAGATGTGAATCATAGTACATCAGTAATTCTATTCAGTGATGCGCGGTATCAGGGAGGATAGTTCTATATTGAGAAAGGGGGGGGGGGGGGGGGGGGGGCGGGGGGGGGGGGGGGGGGCGGGTAGCCTAGTGGTTAAAGCGTTCGCTGGTCACGCCGAAGACCCGGGTTCAATTCCCGACATGGGTACAATGTGTGAAGCCCATTTCTTGTATCCCCCGCCGTGATATTGCTGGAATATTGCTAAAAGCGGTGTAAAATCATACTCACTCACTCACTCACTCACTCACTCACTCACTCACTCACTCACTCTATATTAAAAAGGGACCCTGAAAACATCGGTATAGCATTGAAATAGTTATTGTTCGGAGCTCGAAAGCAAGATGGAACCCGTATTTACAGTATGTTTACTCTACTACAGTCGACTATCAGAGCAAAACGTTCCCACATAAAATATTATTTACAAAGAGGTTGAAGACAGTAGGTTATGTTTGGACGCGGCCAACGTTCTGCTGAGGGTTTGAGGCATGGCGTAGAAAACGGAAATCATCCTATGTGAGTGAGTGAGTTGGGTTTAACGCCGCTTTTAACATTATTCCAGTTATATCATGGCGTGTCAGCTTAATGTGGGAGGAGAGCCTGAAGTGATGCAGGTATAAGATGTTTACCACTTCGGTGAAACCCACGAGCACGGGTATGGTGCTGACAAACCTAGAAATATAATTGGGGCGAACCTGGATTCGAACCCACAATGATAGGTTTCTGGCGTGCCCAAGGGACGCAACTCTACAAAGCGAATTGCGGCACCTGAGACGATTGGGCCAACCGTGCCCCTGTTATCCGAGACTGAAAATCATTCCACTTGACGCTGATAGTAGAAGATGTGCCAGATTTAACATAGTGATAAAGCTGATCGATTTACATCCAATCATAAATTTGATTTTCTATATTTATTACCTTTCTGCAGCATTCAAGTATATTCACACTGAATATCAATTTAAATTGGATCCATGATTTATTCAGGGGAAGCAGATATTGACGGGAGCGAGAGAAGCGAACAAACGTAGACCCTTCAAACTAATAGAATGTTCCACACGATAAGCACGACCTGCACGAGCGTTTCACGCTATACGCCATTAGGGTACATAGGCATAATTGTGGCAATGAAGAGGAATGCCAAATATGACAATGAGTCTTCAACGAGCTCGTTAAACGAAGAGATATTGCCGATTATTATTAATTAATTAACAAAGTTCTAAATAGATAGCTTAACATTAATCTATATAATTTAGTAAATTAATTAAATGAGGATGTAATAGTGTTATACCTCTCTTCTACTCTGGGGCGGTCGGATAGACTAGTGGTTAAAGCGTTCGCTCGTCACGCAGTAGACCGGGGTTCGATTCACATGGGTACAACGTGTGAAGCCCATTTCTGGTGTCCCCCGCCTTGATATTGCTGGAATATTGCTAAAAGCGGTGTAAAATCATACTCACTCACTCACTCACTCACTCTCTTCTACTCTCCACCGTATTTACATGAACAATATTGTATTGCTGGTATGCATGCAGACTCTAGATACTGACACCTGTACAAGAGCCATAGAATCAACCAGAAGAAAGGTTCCCACCGCCCATATGAGGACCCGCAACACCATCGAGAGGGCGTTTGGGTTCGAATCTCATTTTACGGCAATTATTTTCCATATATTGTTTTGGTAAATGGGGTATTGCCCTGTTCATGCTATTTTTGGTTTCGTTTGAGATACAGGAAAAATGGTATAGTCTGTATGGTGGAAACAGAATAGGACATTTAGATTATAAAGATTCAATAGAGACATCTCACTAGGTTCAGATTCCAATACCAAGGCAGGAGAGAATGTTAGCTTCAGTCAAATGTGATAGTCTCCCCTCATCACTAAAAACAGGGGTGAAGATCCGGGGTGGAATAGGTCTTCAGCAACCCACGCCTGCCGTAAAAGGCGACTATTGTTGTCGTAAAAGGCGACTTATGGGATCTTTGTGGTCAAGCTCGCTGACTTGCTTGATGCCCAATTCCGTGGATCGATGCACATGATGTCAATCACTGGATTGTCTGGTCCAGACTCGATTATTTACAGGCCGCCGTCATATATAGCTGGAATATTTCTGAGTGATTTAGTGATTTGAGTAATTTAGTGATAAAATATGTAACAATATTGTTTCAACCATTTAATCTAAAACAACTTTTGACGGACAACATGTTGTTGGAAAACAAATTAAACGCAATATATTGTACAAATTATCATATTGCAGATATTTATTAGATCTATAACCATTGACTGATTCCTGTGGATCTACATTAGTATAATAAACCAACTTTATTATTTGACCCGTGAAGATCCGGGTTAGATTAGGTCTTCAGCAAACAATGTTTGCTGTAAAAGGCGACAATGCTTGTTGTAAGAGGCCACTAATGGGATTGGGTTGTAAAAAAAAAATGCCTCCATCTGCTTCAAAACAAAATCTCGTGAAGATTATGTGATACGTCTGATCACAAGAAATGAGATTCGACACCATTATCCTCAGAGGGTCTGTGCTAACTTATCCTCACTATAAGTATCGCGGGTCCTAGCCAACTATGTAATCAAGTGGACTGAGGCTGTGAACTTAATTTTAGAACGGTTTATTGGCTGCAAAAGATATCGATCATCTCGATATTAATTAATGTTCAGTCAAGGAAGCAAGAGTCCCGTTGATGAGTAGTGTAGAAAGGGATAGTCAACAATGTAATTAAGTGGACTGAGGAGGTGAAGATGGTTTTAAATATAAATTGATGTTCAGTCAAGGGGCAAGAAGGTCTTCCCTCGAGGTGGCGTCACAAAAAGTCTTTTTAGAAATTATCCACTTCACATTTCCCAGGTGTGCGCACGAGATACTGCGTGTGAGAGAAGAAGCGTACGTAAAATAACATAGAGACAAGTCGTGGAATTTGAAACATCTTTTAATATGTCCGGCGACATGTGGGTGACTTGGTCTTATTCTAATTGGATGGTCAAGGTGATCCCACAAGAGTTCTGAAGGTGATTGTGCTGGTCAAGGTAAGATGTTTTATACAGCCTTGTGTTATCTTGTGGAAACAGGGTATGTCCTGTTCTGTTGCAAAAACTGTAGTGCAGCTCGAGGGTAGCGAGGCTGGTCAAGGTAACACTGTCCAGTGATTTTTCATTCCAAAATCACCAGATCCGTCTTGACTTGGCTAAAGATGCTGCATTGCAGGGTCAATGACGCTGAATTGACAGGGATACAGATGCCACGTTGACAAGGCTAATGACGCTGCATTGACAGGGCTACAGGTGCCACGTTGACAGGACTGATGACACCACATTGACAGGGCTAATGATGCCGCATTGACAGGGCTAATGATGCCGCATTGACAGGGCTACAGATGCCACCTTGACAGTGCTAATGATGCCGCATTGAAAGGGCTACAGATGCCATCTTGACAGGGCTAATGACATCGCATTGACAGGGCTAATGATGCCGCATTGACAGGGCTAATGATGCCGCATTGACAGGGCTACAGATGCCACCTTGACAGGGATAATGACACCGCATTGAAAGGGTTCAAGATGCCACCTTGACAGGGCTAATGACATCGCATTGACAGGGCTACAGATGCCACCTTGACAGGGCTAATGCCACCGCATTGACAGGGCTACAGATGCCACCTTGACAGGGCTAATGACATTGCATTGACAGGGCTGCAGGTGCCATGTTGACAAGACTAATGACACCGCATTGCAGGGCTAATGATGCCGCATTGACAGGGCTACAGATGCCACCTTGGCAATGCTAAGGATGCCGCATTGACAGGGCTACAGCTGCCACGTTGACAGGGCTAATGCCACCGCATTGACAGGGCTACAGATGCCACATTGACAGGACTAATGACACTGCATTTACAGGGCTACAGATGCCACCTTGACAGGGCTAATGACGCCACATTGACAGGGCTACAGATGCCACATTGACAGGGCTAATGACGCCACATTGACAGGGCTACAGATGCTATCTTTGACAGGGCTAATGACGCCACATTGACAGGGCTACAGATGCTGGTCAAGGTAGGATGTCTTATGGAGC